TACACCCAGAAGAAAGGCCTGTGGACACGACGAGTAGCCCCAGCTGACCTACTAATTTATTTCGTCTTAAAAGCAGGCTCACGCCAGGTTATTTTACGTCTCCTCCTAAATACGTTCAATCTAAACAGAAAAAAACCTGCTTTTACAGGACTAAATTAAAGCAGCACAAGTTCATTTGCAGAGAGGTCTGAGAAACAACACAAAATCCCAGCTCTCCACTCCCGCCATCGCCACTCAGACGAGCAGCAGTCTACGCTATTAACGACCCAAGAACTACACGATCAGCATCCCTTCTGTATAAATTACTTTATCCTCCTGGCTTCCCAGCTGAAGTCATATACATGATTGAATGCGCTGCTGCGTTGTATCACAGCCCAAACACTTTACAGGCCCTCCCGTAATCAGCTCAGGGAAGATTACACCTAGGATCTGGAGTCTAGGCTCAACACCCAACCCTTAACAGCTCGAAACAACTTGAGTAAAAGTACAATGATGACTAAAGTCGATTTCAAAATAAACTACTGCTACTCAAGAAGGCATGCTGAAATACTTTGAGGGGGAGGACAAAGCATTTAGAAAGGCTGAGACAAATGAAATGGAAGTTAAGCAAATGAAAAATTTAGGCTCTCAGAAAAAAAAAACAAACAAAAAAAACCCAAAAAACCCAACTATCCCATTGTGTCAAGGAACAGCTTCGGAGAGGAAGTGGCAGAAGCCAATTGTTATTCAAAACAGGACAAAGTATACCACAAGGAACAATCTCTGCCCTCCAGAGAGGGGATGGACAAACATCACCCTCTGAGCACAGATAAACAGAACCAGCTCCCATCCAAGGCCCCGGTCCTGTTGGAAGCAAGTTCAGTAGGATTCCTCACATGTATAAACTTGAGCACATGCCTGTGTCTTTGCGAGACTGTACTCCAAATCAGCTAATTAACTAGCTGAATACGCTCCGTGTGATTGCTATCACGTTATTATTTGTAAATGAAACTATCCACAGAAGAGTCCTCGGGGTTTTAATCTGCAGCCTGCTAGCTAAGAGAAAAAAAAAAAAAAGCCTACCCAGAAAAACAACCAACAACAAAAAACAACCAATAAAAAAATCCAACACACAAACAAAAAAAAGCCTAACTGAAATTTAATGTGAATTTAAAAACCAACAACTAAAATAAATTAGTTTAAAATTATTGATAAGTAACCAAGAACTACAAGGACGCAGAAGGGAATTTCCACAGTAAAAAAACCTTTTTCCTCTGAGCGAGTTTCACAATTGAGGAACCAGCTTATTTGTTTTCCTCCACATTTCACAGCTTGCACTCCATCGCTCCTAAAGCCGCCAGACTTGGCTGTGCTATACATTTTTTTTTTCTTTAAACGGGATTCTTCTAGGAGCGCACGCAACAAAGTCACTCTTTGAAACTTCTTGAATGAGCCTCAAACGCCAAGAGGTCACAAATAACTACAAGCCCAACCTTTAGTAAAACAAAGGCACCCTAGCCCTAACATCTTTTTAAAAGTTTCCCTCTTTGTCTCCGCACCTTTTAATTTCTGCCACGCAAACCCCAGCCCCACGGCCCCTCTCAAAAGTTCTCCCTCCCGCCTGTCA